GGTGTAGGGGAATTAATTTTGGAAACACACTTCCTTCAAGACTGACGCTTAGTCTGTTTAAAAGTGCGTCGAGCCTTGGCATTTAAAAATTTTAACTTTATCTAAATTGTGGACTGTAGGATGTCGGCGAAAATACTTTTCAGCTTTCTTCCTACTCTTTCTGGCCTGTTTAAAGTCATTTGTAAACCATGGTTTACGAATATGTGGAATTGCAGAGGACTTGGGTATAGTTTGATCAGCAATGTCATTGAGGATATCAGAAAACAATTGTATAGGATCTTCGCTGTTCGCAAATACGTCATTGGTTTAAGTGTTCAGCACACAAAGCTCATATAATCAATCAGCCCTGGCGAAGTTCCTTCTTGATGAACGCGGATCATCACCAGGGCTAATTGTTTTGAGAATGGTGAGGAAGTGATCACTCCCACATAGGTTATCATGAACCATCCATTCAAATTCATTATATAAGTTGGAATCGGCAAGTGACAGATCCAGGGAAGAATATGTTCCCGTAACTTGATGTAAATAGGTGGCTGAATCGTCTTTTAAAATACATAAATTATTATCAGAAATGAATTCCCAAGGATTTTACCTTAGTTATTAGTATGGTCACTTCCCAAAGCGGGTTGAGTCCGTTAAAATCGCCCATGATGAGACATGGCTTCGGAAGTTGATCATACAGATTTTGAAGATCTGTTGAATAATTGAAGAGGGAGGTATATACAAGCTGCACAATGTCAGAGCAATGTGCAGAGTCAGACGCACAGTAACAGTTTGAAGGTCCGTATTTAAAGTAACAGGACTGTGAATGATACTCTGGTGAGTAAATAGAGGTGCCTCCAGTATTTTTATCGCCTGGAGGGGAGAAGGAATGATAATCACTAAACCGTCTTAAATTAAAGGTATCAGGGTATTTTTAAGGTATGTCTCTTGAAGACATAATGCTGACGGTTGAAGATCTTGAATGAGTAATTGTATTTCATTGAAGTTATTCTTCAGTCCTCTGCAATTCCACTGAATTATATTAGATAATAGATGGTGGCTCAATTGGAGATCTCACTCGTGAATGGGAAGATGGGCTATTCCTCCGCTTGTCCTGTGAGGACAGTGTGACCTCCATGTCGAGAGGTCCAAAGGGGTTCTCCAAAGGGAGCTCGGAAGGTAAAGGGACGGAATGTGTCTCTTTTCTGTTTAATTTTTTACCTTTTGGTTTTGAAGAACTGGCTGAGGCTGGCTGTTTGTTAACTGTTTTGGACTGTATCTCAGACTGACTCGCAGTCTGCGAAGCAGAAATAGTTTGTGTGACATGGGACGCAGGTTCAGTAGCTGGGGACTTTTGTGGAGCGGCAGAAACGGGTTTTACTGACCTGACCCAAGTCAAGTCAGTTTGACAAGCAGCAGAGGACGTTGCTACAGAACGAGTTACTGCAGCTGAGTATGTCACTGGAGTACCAACCTCACTTACAAAAAGTTTCTTGGCCTCAACGTAAGAGATGTTTCCTCACATTTTAATCTCATGACTTTTTACTCCTTTTGCCACACAGGGCATGATTTTGATGAGGCAACATGTGGGCCATGGGAGTTAGCACACTTAAAAATCTTGTCACACTCTGTGCTGTCGTGGCTCTCGCCACAGCGATGACAAATCACAGAGCCACGACAAGACTTTGACCCATTACCAAATTTTTGGCATTTATAACACCGGAGTGGACTGGGGACATACACGTCCACTCTGATATTAAAATACCCTGCTTTTATAGACTGCGGCAATGAGGCACGTGCAAACGTTAAGAGATAAGTATTTGTTTGCACAATGTTACGTTCTTTCTTGAACGTGAAACGTTTGACTGCTGTCACACCCTAGTTCTGCAGCAATGTCCTCCTCGGACATGTCAGACAGACGACGAGCTCTGTCGCGAATGCTTCCACGACAGGAATTTAAAGTAATTTGCACAGACACAGCAACCTCAACATTTGCAAATGTTTTAATCGATAAAACATTGAGAGATTGCTGCCTCCGTGCACAATCCACCAAAAGTGAACCACTACGGAGACGGGTGACGTTTATAACGTCCCCACAAATTCCAGAAACAGCCTTGGAAATAGCGAAAGGATTTAGTTTGATCGGAAGGAAATCAGTAGCCTCTATCACCAGGAAACGAGCCCAGGAATCAGCATTTGAGGGAACAGTTCTCAACGATTCATCAACATTGTCGATTCGTCTCTTTTTTCAGTTGTGTGGTCATAATGGAAAAAATATGCTTCAGCAACCCTGCTCCCCACCCACCATGGAGTGTCAACAAGGACAGTGTCAATATGCATCGGATATCCAAGATGCTGACACCAGGGATACAGGGTGTTATGCTCTAGAGAAAGCAACACAAATGGCCGCATTTATCTGCCAACCCAATGTCAGACTGGTTCGGCCCGTGACAAGAAGTTTGAGACATTCATCATTTGGAGGCCATTATCACCAGATTGGCCCATGAGCCACCGCTTTCTGGCATAGGACTCTAGGCAAATAGATATAATAATATAATTGTGAAATACAACATTCAATATCAACATTATATAAATGTACATTGATATAAATTGGAATGTTTCCATGCACAGGGCACGGCGTGACCAGCCGATTGATAGAACCGGGCCAGTTCTACCACCCGTCTAGGTGAAGTAAGGGGCGAAGTGGTGTGTTGGCATGCCCCAGTGCTCTCAACCACCACTCCCCGTCCTCCACCGACACAGGGCACAGCCCACGGCAAACGGGTTGGTGGACCAAATATACCCCCGTGTCGACAAACGGTCCAGCACCCACCACGAGGAGGTGGCTCTTCACGGGTGCCAGTACCCAGTAGAAAATGGGTACCCGTGGGATAAGTCAAGTGACTATCAACCTTCTAACGCCTCATAGGCAGCTAGGGTTACCCGGGATAACCAGATTGTTAGTGCAATGAGCATTTAACTATTGAGTGGAGTTTAGCACATTAGATACTTATGTCTGCCTATACAGTGGACTCTGGCAATACCGGCCTCTGTAAACACCGGCACTCTGTCTACATCGGCACAAAGTTTCAGTCCCGGCAGAAATGCACGTAATTATCATTTAGAAACATCTGTAAACATCGGCATCTGTCTATTCAGGATATCGGCATTGTTTTTCAGTCCCAACGAACAAGTTGTTATGAAAACGAATCTGTAAAAACCGGCACATGAAAGACGGCGTAACCCTTTGATGTAATTAGGTCCAAATGATGTAACATCACAATTCGCTGTGACTCCCGAGATCACACAGAAACGGGAAGTGTTAATCAGTATCTTGTTAATCAGTGAGTGGTACGTACCACTTACATAGAGTAATTAATACATCCATTGGGCAGTTTGACTGTAAAAACAAGCAAGTGTTTACATGTTGTTGATTCGAGGGTGTTGACTCCCGAGATTATTCAGGAACGGGAAGTGTCAATCAGTGTCTTGTTAATTAGTGAGTGGTACATGTCACTTACATCGGCAGTTTGACTGTAAAAACCAGCAAGAGTTTAGTTGCTTCGAGGGTACATGTATTTAAGGTAAAATCGTATAATGTCAATAGTGTAATTGTCAGTATCGCCAAAATGTCTCGGCCGGCAAAACGTGCAAGATGTGAGTTGACCCGCCTAAACCGGCACTCTGTCAAAACCGGCATTTTTATTTGGTCCCGAGTGATGCCGGTATTGACAGAGTACACTGTATAGGCTTTGATGATGTACGCCTCTCCGTGGTAGGCTTAGATATGTGAATTGTATTCCCTGAACTAAACGTACATTACCCAGTTTGGACTGGGCCCCCGAAGCTTGGTAACTACTTGGTAACCAACAGACAAGGGCAAATCATCTTCAACGCCGCAGGCCAGTCAGCCTTCCTCTGATAATGAAACCAATCGTACTGGGCTTTGCCCCCAGGGGAAGGCCCATATCCGACAAATAATATCTTTGACCAAGCCATCTTTAAAACACACCACTTTCTCTCAACCGGGAACACAGCCCTTCTTATACTCTGGATAGTCTGGATAGTTCAGAAGGCTGCAGTGTTGGTGAGTCAAGCATTTAGCTCTGAGCTCCAGATTTTTAAAGCGAGTTTTATACTTGGCCCGAAGTTTGTATTGAATCTATGCATTCTGGAGCTTGTCTCGAACTTGCATCCTAAGATAGGTGTAGGCTTGGTCTTCCACAGGATGCTCAATAACACCTTCCTCCTTGTAACTTGACAGATCCATCATTAATTACCTAGCCACGTTTTAAATGGAGAGTATTACATTTGTCGAGTCCAAATGCCCTGCCAATATTATTAGAAAAGGACTCGACAAAGAAAACCTGCGCATTCAAATTGGTATCTCCTTTGGCAAGGAGCTTGATGTCATCCATGTTAAGGAGATGAGTAAGCGGGCTTTGGGATCTGTGCTGAGGAGGTACGGGATGGTTACCCTCCTCTTTATTGAGCAAAGGACTGAAGGAGTGCCCTGGAATATATCCGTTCTGATTGGAATAGATCCCGAAGTGTGCACCTGCCCTTAAAAGTACATCTCAAGTTGAGTCGACCCGCAACTCATTAAAGACTTGAGTAAATCAAGTAGTCGCACAGGTAGGTCAATACAATAAAGAGACTTCAAAATCCATTCATGAGGGACAGAGTCGTATGCCTTTTGGTAGTCAATCCAGCACATGGAGAGGTTGCGGCGATATGTTTTAGCCTCTTCCAAAACCATTTTTTTGTACAAGAAGTTGATCCTTGTACCCCCAACATTTCGTATTATTGTTATTAAACGTTCTTTCCCCAGCGTTAATACATTTGGGAAATACTGTTCCTTCGTGTCGTGATAGAAATTTGAATATGATACGAAATATGGAAATGTTTTGCACATGGTGAACCAACTTTTGCACCTTGTTGCAAAGTGGCCGTTATCTTTGGGAAATGATCACTTGCAATCTGATAAGGACAGTCTCGTGACCAGATATATGTTTAAAAGCTCTGATTCATTGTGCCTTGTTTCATTTGTGAAACCGTTATTCAAAAGGTAAGAAGTTGCTTCAACCCTCTATTATTGTGGTATATATCTGGCATGCATGAATGAACGAATTCGTATGTTATTTTATCTTATTCACCTGGGAATAAATTGTTTTCAAACATTTTCGGGAACAGCTATCTTTTACAAAATCCTAGGCCTCCAGAATGTCAAGTACTGTAATATTCTATATTTTAGCTATCAACTTTGAATACGAAGCAAAACCAAGTTCTTTACTGCAATGAGTGCGACGTTTCGGTGTATGTCCTAACACTGTTATCAAGCATGTGATACAAAGAGTTGAAACAAGGAGAATAGATACATAGCTGCATAGTGAGTTTATACAATTGACAAGGTTGATATACTTTGGATCGGTAATCTCCTTGTTTTTCACAGAAACATCAATGTTTCTTCTCATCTGCTTGGCGTTCGTCGGTCTGTGTGCGGGAGAAGGGTATTTATAGATTAAGGCGAACGTAAAATCTCTTAAATGTGACGTTAATTTCTATTTTCGAAATATATTGCTAGAATAACAGGAAATATATGCCGCTTTGCAGTATCATTTCCTGATGATAGATGTGTGTATTATTAGTATCAGTTAGATCAGTTCTATTGTAGGTACATTGCTTGTAGGTATTCTGAGGTAATTGATATGTGTATTATACGTATCCGTCTTATCAGTTATACACTCTTCAAAAAAAAAAACGCAAAACCCAAATATCAATTAAAATTTGGTGTTATTCAAGGACGTGTAGATCAGCGGAAAACAAAGATACATGAATGAAATTTTGTGGAGCAATGCATTGCTATCTTGTCCATATTTCATGAGAATAACAGTCATCAGAGTCATTAGTTGAAGTCAGTACCTCGTATGACCACCTCAAGCTGCTACCACTGCCCGACACCTCCTGGGTACAGATCGAATCAGTCGTTGGATGTTTTGTTGTGGAATCCTTCTCCATTCCTCCTGCAGCATGTGGAACAACTGTTGAAGATTCTGTGGTGGAATACGACGTCGACGTACCCGTCTATCGATCTGATCCCAAAGGTGTTCGATTGGGTTTAGATCCGGGGATCTGGAGGGCCAGGGGAGGGTATTGATGTTGTTATTGGCCAGGTAGTCCACGGTGGCACGTGCTGTGTGGGGCCTGGCGTTGTCCTGTTGGAAGAGCTGCCGTTGACGGTCAACAAAGTGAAGGACGTGCGGACGGAGAATCTGGTCGATGCATTGGACAAGCACAAGTTCCGATCTGCGGGTGTATGAGATCGCTCCCCACACCATAACACTCTCTCCACCGAATCTGTCCACCTGTCTGATGCAGTTAGGAGCAAAACGTTCATGACGTCGTCTGTAGACACGGTCTCTACCATCACGTCGCCTGAGGAGATAACGGGATTCATCGCTAAACCATATGCGCCTCCAGTTTGCCAGGTTCCATGGCAGCACCGTGTTACACCATCTCACTCGTCGACGTCGATGTAGTCGTGTCAAGGAGGGGGCAACTTTTGGACGTTTGGCACGTATTCCTACTTCTCGGAGACGGTTCCTGATTGTCTGATCGGACACTCTTCAGGCTCCAAACTGTTCTTGTGCTGTGTTCCGGGCGGAACGGTGGAGGTCAGGTAGGTGGGTTACCCGGATGTACCGATCTTGGGCAGGTGTGGTGACTCTAGGTCTTCCTGATCTTGGACGGTCATTTGTCGAATTTGTTTGACGAAATCGATCCCACAATCGAGTTATTGTGCTGGGATGAACGTTGAAGATCCTTGCCACCTCACTCTTTGATTCGCCAGCTTGCAATCGTCCAATTGCCTGATTTCGATCGGCAGCGTTGAGACGTCCCATTTTCGTGTAATTGCAAAGATCGTGGATGAAATTGTGAGATTCATTTGAGTCTTTTATAGTCACATGCTGTACTCATGCTTTGCACGTGAGAAACAAGCATTGTGCCTGATATTCGTGCAGCATGACATCCACGCACATCATGACAATCCTGATTGATAAAACCGTTCAAAATCATTTTGGTTGCGTTTCATCAAGCATGATCTTCTGAAACATTCCAGAAACAATGTGCAACCCTAAAAAATGGTTGAGTTTACATATGTGCACAAAATTGTAAGTATCATTCTTGAAATTCATTTTGCGTTTCTTTTTGAAGAGTGTATATAAAAGTGTGAGGCAGCGAGCAAGTTGCTGTATCGTACGACCATGGGTATGGAGTTTACAAAACAGCTAGATAACTCTCTCTGTCCTTAGACGACTAGGTAACCTGTGGTGCCCTCATATTAAAGAATTTATTGTATGAGGTTGACAATATAGAAGGTTTTATCATTTGCAGAAACTTTACCGATATCTTCGAACAGACTATCGACACTAACAAGAACAAGATTCTTGACCTCCCCGAATTCCAGGCCCTCTTCGACCAGAACGATCTGAACAGTACGTAGAAACAAATGGGAAAGTAAACGTAGTTATTTCCGATGATTGTCCACAGCCGCAGGTTGGAGCTCTTGGAAAAGAACCGGTGCCTTTTATCATAGATTTTGTATGGGCGGTACACCTAAACAAGAGTACTCGTCACCACACTCGTTGAATAAAAAAGGGGATAACACTCAATAGTTTTGGGGGTATTTTTATTGTGGCGCTGTTACTCGTTGAGTTAGACATGAGCCCAGAGACGTTCGGGCGGTCACAGTTTCTAAACTGTTGACTGTACATAGGTCTATCTAAAAGTAGGTCCGGAATCGTGACTTCGTTACTTACGACATTGCCTCTCTCTCTGAAAATCATTGGAAGATTAATCCAAGCTATATTTAAGTAAAATCATTTATTTTGCCATGGTAACATACTGGGCTGCTTTTAACAACGCCATGTCTTCAGAAACACTGTCTTGTCCTCAGATAGACTTAAACTGGGCAGATATCAAGATATTGAAAACTGAAAACAATTATGTAAAGATTTAATATGCATGTTTGGGAGCTATTTACGTATTTTGCAAACTAAAAATCGACATTATCTTCATAAATCTTAACTTTCTTAACTTAAGTCTGTCTTATCAAAAACGTGACTTATAACTAAACAGTAACTGATGGTGTCAATATTTTATTTAGAAATGAAATGTTCGTTACATCGTTCCTTCCTATTTCAGACGACTCTCAATTGTAAGTCTTTGGTGATTGTATACATCCCCTTTGACTTCCCAGATGGGATAGGAGTCACGTGATATTTAAGAAAAATTGTATCAGCACTTCAAAAGCTATGTAGTGTCGAATACCCTGGTAACGAACACTTCTGTAACGGAGATTATATTCTCGGGCAAATCAAGCAGTAAGTTACCATTATCCACACACAAGCTTTGAATATATTTTTCCTTTCCCAACTGGCATACTTCGTGTTCTAAATGTAACTTTAACTATGTGAAAAAGAGCACAATTCCCTAATTTGGTGGTAGTAACGGACATTTCACTCTTATTTCTACCCATGAAATATTTTCTTTGTATTGATATATGTTACGCAGAGGGATATCCTAAGCACCAAATAATGACAAGTACCATTAATGTAAAATTAATTGAATTCATTCAAAGTGAATGGGTCAGATTATGTTTTGTTCTACACACATGTACATGTCAAGTTGACAATTTCCTCAAAACTGGCGACATGGCATTAGACCAACTTCATTTATCTAAAAAGAATGGATTGGATTTAACAATTTGCAGAAAATGAAACTTTTGACCAATATCAATGTCCTAATGTACTTATATCCAGAATGAGGACTATTTTTATGGATATACAACTTCTTTATTCTATATAGGCGACGATTCGACATAGCTTCTAATGTCGTTGTCAAGCAAGTGGTACATGGGAAGTAATTTGGGTGATGTATATCCAGGTATTTGTATACCAAACTGCGTTAAGTTAAACTGCAAAGTAAGGTTTTGCTACTGTAACGAACATTTCAAATTGACCTATTACCTTAGCTGTAACAAATAATCTTTGGGGGTTATTATTTGGGGTTACCGTTTATACAAGATATAATTTGGGCAGGTTGGTAGCATTATCCAACCATACTGATAATAATATTTGCTAATTACGTTGACATGGCGGCGGAAGCATTTGCACCCCGTTATTGAGAATGAGTGTACACTCTGACATTCCAGAGGACGGCCAGGTGTCCTTGGCTGAAAACCTGAAGTCAACTGGAACCTCGGGGAAAGGAGCAACTGCCTTCTTCACCCTTCTCGACCCCAACAAAGACGGCGTTATTCACAGACCAGAATTGCCTGCCGTTCTTAGCAAATTCGACGTCAATGGTATGTCTTAAACCACATATACCGGGTCATCTCGGCTTTGCGCTGAACGAGTGAGTGATATTAGCAATATTCCAGCAATATCACGGTCGGGGACACCAGCAATGGACTTCACACATTGTACCCATGTAGGGAATCGAACCCGGGTCCTCAGCTGACAAGCCTCTCCCTGAACGACTATGTTATAACATAATATAGCATATGTTTTGCATGTACCACTCAGAAGTAAATTTAATTTTCTTTGGGATGTATAGAATATGTTGTACAAGAATATATTGCGTCATGTACACCTGCACCACAAACTTGACTAGATACAAATTCAGTTAAAGATATCTTTTTAAATCTACGAGCCTAAATAGAAACATCTTGCAGCCATGAATTTTTGTAGCAGTATGTTTTTTCAACAATCTGTTTTATGCATTTTCTGGGACAATTTATTTTGTTTAATGAAACTTCATGCACCCAAGTCAGTGATGAAAAAGTTGTGTGTCCATGTTGTATAGGTGATTTTATTAAAAGGTGCGTCAATTCGGAAAATTCTGATTTGAAGAGGCCCTTGTCTTCAATATGAAATAATGTTCACAAGTCCCGCACAAAGTGGACGCAAATAAAACTTATGATCACAAATTTCATCAGAGAATATTCACAAGCAGATATTTCAAATGAGCTATTATGGGCATTTTGCGGCATTTTATCTGTTTAATGAGTTGCTGCCATAAGTCCAAAGAACGCGAAAAATTGTTAAACTGACTGACTGAGTTAGGTTTTACGCCGCTTTTAGCAATATTCCAGCAACATCACGGCGAGGGAACACCAGAAATGGGCTTCACACATTGTACCCATGTGGGGATTCGAAACCCGGGTCTTTGGCGTGACGAGCCAACGCTTTAACCACTAGGCTACCCCACCGCCCCAGAAATTGTTATAAGAATAACAATAAATGACAATCAAGAAAATAATTCAGATAATTTTGTCTTTATTCATTTTATCCCCGACCGACCTACAAATGTTCAGAATTTGGTGGCAACGTAAAACACATAAAAAAAAATGCCCTATTATACCTTCCAAGAAAAAAAAAGATTTGCTTCGATACATCTCTACTGGTTTCTGGCAAATACTGTACATTATGTAGATAGGGAAGCCACCCACTTGTGTCCACATTCTTCTTAACATTATTGACCGCCTCCGTGGTGTAGTGGTTAGAGCGTCCGCCCGGAGAGCGGAAGGTCGCGGGTTCGATCCCCGACCGCGTCATACCAAAGACGTTGGTCCCTGCCTGGCGCTCGGCATTAATGGGTACAACAAGGACTGGTCGGCTCGGAGTCAGTATAATGTGTCTGAGTGGGGTATTCATGCTTCACTGCGGCATGGTATCTCAGTGGGCTAGCACTATAAAACCAGCTTCAGTCTGGGCTAGTACAAGCAGCCGCACATACACATACACACGCATGCACGTCGTCATATGAGCGAAATATTCTCAAGCACGACGTTAAACCCAATTTCACCTCACCTCACCTCACCTCACCTCACCTCACCTCACCTCTTAACATTATTGTTGCAGGCGATGGCACGGTCACGGAGGAAGAGTTTATCAAGCGCCATGGAGAAGTATGTATTCATGTTTATATGATTATTATTATTATTGTCTTATTCGCAAGCTGTTGTAGCACAACATGTTAAAAAATACATACATTTTATGTTGGTACATTTTCGTACAAGGGTTATCCCTGTGAGTGAGTGAGGTAGGGAGGGAGGAGCATTGCTTTACGCCGCCTTTAGCAATATTCCAGCAATGTCACGGCGGGGACACCTGATATGGGCTTCACACATTTTATCCATGTGGGGGAATCGAACCTGGGTCTTCGACGGACGAGCGAACGCGTTAACCACTTGGCTACCCTACCGCCCTGGGCCCACTTGCCCAAAGCGATCTTAGCGCAGCGACTATCTTAAGCCTATGCTGGAGAATGGGAGTTACAATCATTGTAGCACTAAGATCCCTTTGTGCAAGTGAGCCCGGATTCCATGACGTTTCCAACGCAGTGACATTGATGATATAATGCAGAAGTCCGAGTAAAACTGTACTGGTTCTTTCTACATTATCAGGACTGCTCACATGGGTATCCCAGTTCATATCCATTAGGGCTGGGCAATAATCAGACATGAAAACGATACCTATTGCGATACGCTGATCGAAAACCGGTATTTTGACTTGCATTAGGAAAACTTCGTAACATTCGGAAATCTTCGGATATTTCCTTTTTTCATTTGTGCCAAATATTATTCACATTTTTATTTTTAATCATGAATAAAAGTTGTTATTAAAGCTTAATCAAGCATAGTGATTTTGCTGTGTATTTGCTCTATAGATCAAGCATTACCTCGATTATAAGTAGTTTTGTGTGTAAAAATACTTCACGCAATATATTGCAATACATATCGCAATACATGCTTTCGCATCGCAATATATTGCAATATGAAAATTCTCTGCAATACCCAACCCTAATATCTGTCATTTGTGAGACTAGGTTTTACCGACATTAGGTGCAACAATTTGTATGTTGTACACGTCAATTCTAAACGAATATCATCCTTATTATTTCAGCTTTACAATACGGCCCACGGTACCCTGACGTCCGTTGGTAAATAGATGTCAGTTTTATGAATAAAGATGCTTCAACAACCTATATATTTTCTGTTATAGTATTATTTCCTTAACAGTATTTCTCCGTCATATAGCTGGAATATTGCTGAGTGCGGCGTAAAACTCAACTCAACTAACAGTATTTCTACGCCCCTTAACAGTATTTCTACGACATAACGACGTGTCGTGAAGAGTGAGTGAGTGAGTTTAGTTTTACTCAGCACTCAGCAATATTCCAGCTTTAAAAGATTTCGCTCGTCAAGCCGAAGACCCGGGTTCGATTCCCCAGACGGGTACAATGTGTGAAGCCCATTTCTGGTGTCCCTCTCGTGATATTGTTCGAAAATTGCTTTAAAACGGCGTAAAACTATACTCACTCCTTCCATCTGTTCGCCATGACACGATCCGTGAAGATCCATGTTAGACTAACGGGATCGGGTGGTCACACTCGCTGACTTGATTGACACATGTCATCGCATCCCAATTGCGTAGATCGATACTCATGCTGTTGATCACTGGATTGTCTGGTCCAGACTAGTTTATGTACAGACCGCCGCCATATAGCAGGAGTGCTGCGTAAAACTAGACTCACTCACTAGGCACCCCCTCCCCAAGTTTATGTGTACAAAGTTGATGACCACCCCCCAACCTCCCCAGAACAAAATTGTGGCACCCACCGTAAAATCACCATACACACACACCAGCAATAGATGATGAAAGGTTCCTTAGAGTAAATTATGTTGTTAAAATATACAAAAGAAGCTATGTGGAAAAAACGTTTAGTAAGCCAATTACTCATCTGCGTAAAGAGTTTACAAACTGGCTTGGGTTGATTGATTCAGGTGGGATTGTCAGAAAACGTAGGTCACAAACTGGGCAGCGTCTATCTCTGGGACCAGCTGGATTGGTGCACACGTAAATTACAGATTAAACTTGTTTATGATAACGGGATTTGGAAAACACAGATGGTAAGTTAGCGGTAAATATGGTGAACTCTTTGAAATAGTAGTGTTCTGCCGCACCCATCGTTAGTTCACATGACCTTGATAAGGACGCCTGATTTACCACATTGGCTTTTTGTATCCTCAAAGAAATATATTCTGAAATATCTTTATAACCATGTTATATCTCAGCAATTAATAGCTTTTTCGCTCCACTTCAAAGGGGCGGTGGGGTAGCCTAGTGGTTAAAGCGTTCGCTCATCACGCCAAAGACCGGGTTCGATTCCTCACATGGGTACAATGTGTCCCTGACAGCATTGATATGTTGGCCCATACTAGTTGGCTCATAATCACCGGTTTGGTTGGCCCATGGTTGTTAAACTGACGTTGGGCCCACTTGGATATGCTCTTCGGGTCCAAGTTGGCCCATCGTGTTGGCTCATTGTTGGGCCAATGAATGGAAAGTCACACTCTTTCTTGACCTTTGTACTAAAACCATGGCACCCTACTTGGCCCAACGTACTGATTTAGTTGGCCTTATGTTGGCACCACCGTGTTTCAACATTTAGCTCTTTCTTGACTTTTGTACTAAAACCACGGCCCCTACTTGGCCCAACGTAGTGATTTAGTTGGCCTTATGTTGGCACCACCATGTTTCAACATTTAGCTCTTTCTTAACCTTTGTACTAAAATCATGGCCCCTACTTGGCCCAACGTAGTGACTTAGTTGGCCTTATGTTGGCACCACGTGTTTCAACATTTAGCTCTTTCTTAACCTTTGTACTAAAACCATGGCCCCTACTTGGCCCAACGTAGTGATTTAGTTGGCCTTATGTTGGCACCACCGTGTTTCAACATTTAGCTCTTTCTTGACCTTTGTACTAAAACCATGGCCCCTACTTGGCCCAACGTAGTGATTTAGTTGGCCTTATGTTGGCACCACCATGTTTCAACATTTAGCTCTTTCTTAACCTTTGTACTAAAACCATGGCCACTACTTGGCCCAACGTAGTGATTTTGTTGGCCTTATGTTGGCATAACCTTATTTTTAACATTTTAACTCTTTCCTGACCTCTGCAATCAGAAACATGTATAAACAACAATTCAAGTCAATCAAGAGAACTATTTAATTCTTCTTTCATTCCGCCCCCTTGCCGAAATTGGCATTTCAGATCCAGTCCTTCATGCCTGGCTGTAGTTCAGCATTTGTAGCCGGTGGCCTGTTTTTCAAACTGCTCCTGAAATAATAAAACAACAAAATTGTATATATAAAACTGTTTTCATGTATGATTTAGGGTCTGAAACATCATGTGTTGGAAACATCTGGGTATTATTGTTTATTTGGAGCAGGCATATGTCATTTATAACTGATGGATTCAGCTGGAGCTTCCAAACATAACAAGTGTTTGCCACTGATATGGTAATGTCCCCAGCCACTAAAGAATGGAATATCTATATTTACTACTTTTTATTTTTTGTCACATACAAGATGCCTGAAATGACTGGTGTCTGCATAATCACCCAATATATGCTGTCAACATAATTGAAAACATTGGGTGCAATGTTTTATGAGATATCGCGTTTAAATAAGTTTGAAAAGCTGTCAAAGTGTCGTGGTGACCTTGAAGATAAGGTCAAGGTCTCCCAAATCAACTGGTGTCTGCGTAATCCCCCAATGTAGGCTGTCACCAAATTTGAAGACATTGGGTACAACAGTCAATGAGATGTCGCGTTAACAAGAGTTTGAAAAGTGTTCAAGGTGTCATGGTGACCTTGAAGATAAGGTCAAGGTCACCCAAATCAACTGGTGTCTGCGTAATCCCCCAATGTAGGCTGTCACCAAATTTGAAGACATTGGGTACAACAGTTCATGAGATATCGCGTTAACAAGAATCGGGACAGACGGACGTACGTACGTGCGTGACGGACGCCGCTGAATGCATAGTCCCCTGTTCCGCGTTGCGGCGGGGACAAAATTACACCCATGACCAAAATAACACCCATGAATTGGTCAGTGCTAAGGCTAGTATGATTGTGCTACATTGTTTCATGCTGGTAACTGCCAAGATTTATATGTAGGGCACCTGCCAAATAAAGACTGCCTGGCTGTGTAGTTTGCAAAACATAACAAAACTGGAACACTTTATACTAATGTATTTGTTTTTAAGCTTCTTTCAATACTGTTTGATATCCGAACCAAATGCACCAAAATCATATTTCCTGTAACTAGGGCCAGGGTGCTTATTATTCAACAGACCTCCAGATTCAGCCCTATTTTTAGGTCTGGCGCTTTAAAGATTCAACTCAAATAAATGAAAACAATTTACTGATATTTTGTTTAAAAATACCAATTTAAAGTATGTGTCACTAAAAGGTGTTTATTAGAGAACCTCTGCTTATTTAAATTGTTGCTTAACATCCTGTTTACTGTAGGCGGGTGCATATTAATAAAGATACTCCAGTGTGCGAAATAGTGTTACTGCACTGAATATCAATGCAGTACTGCATCCAAACCTTACTGCATGTAGAAAACGTTCTCTATAGCTGACAAACTAGCCAAGATCAGGAGAGTGCCCGGGTTCTCCACCGGAAGCACAGCCCTTCTGACACTCTGGGTAATGCAGAAGGATGCAGTGTTGGGGAGCCTTCATATTCTCCGGAAAGTTCTTGGTGGGTTCGACTAGGAAGCATTTCTTTGGAGAAGTCCCATTCGCTGTCTGGGCTGCGTGTAGAGGGTGCAAGGGCCCTAAGCTGATGATGAGCCTTACCAGCTTGACTGTGCCAAGATCACCCGGACTCTCTCTCTGCTGCATAATATATTTTTAGTCTGTAAAATAATCCGAACGATTACAATAGGTCTCTAGCCTAGAGGCAAGGAGCCCTAATTATGGTTTTCTTTACTAATCTCTTCAATCTTGCAAGATAATTTTCTTTCATAAAGGAAAGCACATACGTTATCAAAACTTTCGCACTTCTTCAGCAAGATGAACTACTGAATGCATGTTGTAAAATAGCATGTCCTTGCCATAGACACTTCCAACAATGTATTACAAACAAAGAAAGAAGGCTTTCAGCATAATCACAATGTGTTCTGCAAAGAGATGGGGTGAGAAGAATGTGCATACCCAGCAAGCAATAAAATGAAGTTTTGATAGAGCAATGTTGGTAGTTTCCCTGCTAAAACCACCGGAACTGTATATACAAGAAATTGACGAAACTCAGAAGCCTTCCGACTTTCAATCTCGTTTAATGTTCTGGGTTTCCTAGCAAATACTCTAGGAATCCATCCTTTTAAAGCTGTGAGTCCATCAGATATGCTATTGATGATTCTGACCTTTTATCCAAATCAACAGCAACCGTCTAACAACCCCTAGACAAATCAAATGCATTACAAAAGCCTTTGTAATGGTGTTGGCCCTTTATGATGATCCTCATCATGCATTTCATCATCAAATGAAACATCTGATATTAGGACATAATCTGTCATCCTGTGGTTTAGATATAGCCCTGTCTGGATGCACTTGTCAGAGTAACCAGAACGGGATTTCACATTCTTAACGAATGAACTCTCGCTGGTGAATCATAAATGAATGAATGAATTTCTACACAAAACTGCATATATCCACACGTGAAACCTGTTTTCAGATCAACTGCTTCGGTCACGAAATTATGTACAAATTCCAAATTTGAGGGCTTAGCAACCCAAGCTTGCCATAAAAGGCGATTTTGCTTGTCGTAAGAGGCGACTAACGGGATCGGGTGGTCAGGCACTTTGTTGACACATGTCATCGTATCCGAGTTGCATAGATCGATGCTCATGCTGCTGATCACTGGATTGTCTTGTCCAGACCCGATTATTATGGCAGACAGCCGCCATATACCTGAACACTGCTGGAGACCAGTTCTAACCTGGATCTTTTACGTGTCTGCTCAAAAGGAAGAATTTGGGAAAACTTTCAGTTACCTCGGGTATCATCACGCTTTGTGGGTTTCAAGTCTCTTAATCTCAGTTAGTTGTTCTACAGAAACTTGAGAAAACTCATGGAATCAATATTATAGGTATAGTAAAACATTCAACTGAATATAAAGACTGACGTTTA